AAGGGAAGGGAAGGGAAGGGAAGGGAAAAAAGAGAAAAGAGAAGAAAAGAAAATATCTGAAGGATGTTAACAAGGATAGAGACTAAGAAGCAGATAATTACTGTTTGTGAGAGGTTACCAGGAGATGCAGTGACGGAAAGACTGCAGTGAGCCATAAAACCACTGACTCTGTTGAGGTCATGATTCTTAGTCTCCAGCAGAGTTACAAATTTCAGTTCTCAAGCTCATCTTTTGTAGGGCTTTTTTGCTGGAATGGGGCTCAGGAAGAGCTCAGGAAGTCCTCCAAAATATGAGGAGGCCCCTCAACATATCTAGACAAACTCAAACTTGTGATTTCTATGGATCAACAGAAGTAAACTCTTGAACTGTACATATATGTGTGTATAGAATAAAAGCCCAAGAAAAAATATTTTCCTTATACTATCTGCTCTCCCAGGATAAACAGTAGCACTGACAAACTCTGTTAAATTCTTTTCTCCTGTATATCACTATATTTCAGTGAAGTCAAAGCTGCAAAAAGAAACAAGAATAGTTCTGATCATTCTGATTTTTGGCAGATCAAAACTTCCTTATAATCTTCAGAGGTGTTTCAGTGATCATTGAATTTGAGTGCACTGCTAAGCCTAATATTCATATTAAGAAATAGGGAATAAAAAAGCAGCTTTAAGTTTGCTAATTGGAAGTTGCCGTGCCTTTCATTACTTGAGTGACTGACTCAAGACAGTTTCCTCTTCTGCAGGAAAATTAATGTAAACTCCCTTTTAAAGTGATTAATGTTATCTATTGTATTCACATTTTTACAGAAATAAATAAATACTTTTCTAACCATGACTTCAGATGTGTTGTAAAAGATAATCTTCCAAGATTGACAGTAGTAGATTACTATCAACCAAGCAGGGAGCTCCAAGGCACTTGGATGCATATTTTAGAAGGTTTATAGACAACTGCCCCACAGTTTTAACTTCAAAAAGCCATTCGCAGTACTAAAGGCATATATATTTATAGAGAGACACGTGTACATATGAGATATATAATGTATTGTGATGATTCTTTGATTACCTTTATATTATAGCTGAAACGAAGTGTTTGTATATTCCTGTCATTTCTGGTATGTATTTGTTGGTCTAAGGTTTACTCTCGGTAAAACTATCGTTAAAGCAAACACTCAACTCTATGTTACATCTCAGAACCTGTAGGTTAACTCCATGTGGTTTCAACTTCAACCCTTTAACAACAAATTATTATTTATGTACGCTGTCAAATCCACCCAGGACAAGCAGCTGCAGAAGAAACTGAAGCACGTAAACCATAGTGAGAAGCATAAGGCTCCCATAAGAGACTAGTCTTTCCCTTTCTGTATTTAGTCCAGTAAGAGTGAATTATTCATTACAATCAAGCTAAAGCTCCCTCAGTCTTGCCATTTCATCTGCAAGTTTGTTGAAAATTAAAGGTCAGCGCGAAGCCTCCAGAGAATTATTCTAAGTTAATAACACCTGCAAAGAACAGAGATTTCACTGTGAGGTAAATTGCTGTGTGATTGCCCACACATCAGCAAAAATTATAATTGGGAGAAACTGAATATTTTCTTTGTATTTAACTGGTGAGGATTTTGTGGGGTGTCATTTTACTTTAAGTAGTAGAGTTATAATTTAGAACGTTTCACAGCAACCAATTGTGCTCGTTTTAACAGCAAGATTTCTTTTCTACAAGGTTTCTATTGCTGTCAGCTGCTATTGCAAATTTATTCAATACACATTTAGAAACCTTTCTTAGTCTTAGGGAAAATTGTCAGAGACAGGCTTTAAACTATGGAATTTTTTCCCTGTGATTTCTCGTGAATTTAGAAGTTGGTACTTTCCCCTACTGAGCTATATCTCATGAATAGCAAGCTAAGTCATGATTTTGATCTCTACATGTGTAGCGTATGTACACCCAGCAGTTCCCTGGACAGCAGTGGAAACTACCTAAAGCATACATTTTTGTTTCTTCCAGACGCTTCAGGAATACACTCATAACTAACATGAAAAATTCAGGTGGAGCTCCTAAATCAGATCGGATATTAACACTATTGTCTATCCAAAAAAGGCCAGCAAAAGAAAAAAAGTCAAATTGTCTTGTCTCCCTGTTGTGCTGCATTGTTATATGCTGAGTTATTATTGTCTGCATTTTCCACAAGCCCTGTATCAATTCACAACTTGTGTTTGGAGCAGGATTCAGACTTCTGCCTGATTACAGTAACACAACCCCAGCATGAAATGGGTAAAGCTTGTATCATTCAGGACAGGTCTACATGGAGAGCCTTGGACAGGCCTCTTCTTCCTGTCCTTTGAAGAGAACCAGCTCTGGTCCACAGGACAAGTGTCCTTCCTAGCAAGACGTAGTGCTGAGCTCAGTAGGTTGCTCAAAGACTTAACTGCTTGATTCAGGCAGGGTGCCATACTAAAACGGTTGGATGTGCCTTCTGCATGGGAACTGCTTGGTCTCTGCCTGCTCATCTCTGGGCAAATGTGCTTTTGTGACTTGCAAAGTTACATGGATTCGTTTAAATCACAATGCACAATTTACTTAAACAGTTGCAGTGTCTGAGACTAACTCACTAGCAAGCTCTTTGCTTTAGAGAATATGCTTTTGAATTATGCACTGAATGCTGCCAGGAACCTGTTCGTGTAGTCTTCTGTCCCTCCCTGTTAATCTCTTGACACCCTTCTCATTTCTGTGCCTTACAGAGGAAGCTCAAATGCTTGTCTCACTGAACTCAAATTCAGGATTATAGTCACAGCTGTTGGGCTGGGGTTTTTTTCTTTCTTTCTTTCTTTCTTTTTTTTTTTTTTTTTTTTTTTTTTTTGGTAATTGTAACAGGCAAAAAAACTGGTTAAAGGCTAAGGGAAGAGGAACATATCTAGGAGAGTGACAACTGGTTTCAGGTGTGTACTTTTAGTGCACTGAAACTCACTTCAATGAATTCCTGTTATACACCTTTTACAGTTACTGGAATAAAATGTCTCTGGTGCCGAACACAAACAAGAGATGGGGAACTCATAGCTATATGAATGTGTTAGACAATAATGTGTAGTGGATGCTGCTGCATAATAGCTGAGCTATTCTTACTGCAGCACAACTAAGGGCTAATATAACACAGGTTCATTTCCTTGGATCAACATGGGACATATTAAAAAATAATATGCTGGGCAAGATGAGGCTTTTCGGGCTCAGAAAATCCTACTGCCTGCTCCAGAGGTCTCTGAGAAGTGTAATGAAATAATGAATCCCTACTGATTGACTAATCTTCCTTTTCCACAACACTTCAAAGCGTTTCCATTTTTCATTTAAGAACAGAACTGCGGGTGAGCAGGCCTCCAACACAGAATTGTCTGTGAAAGTCCTGCTGTGGGCTCCGGCTTCAAGCTTGTCATCTCTGTGTCACTGCTTGTGGATCAGCCTAGAGTTTAACTCAGCCATTATAGGGCTAGGGGAGGACCTGGTGTTTGGCTCAGGGCTCTAGGGAAGAGGAGAGGAAGCAGGTGTATTGTTTAAGCAAACCTCCATTTGTCAACATCCATGCACTTGTCAGATGAATTTATCTGCCCCAGCTGCACTGCTCCAAGAGTGGGTCTTTCAGTCTATATTTATCTGATGTACTATGTCTCTGAAATGTGCTGTCAGTTTCTTTCAGAGAAGAACTTTGTGTCATAGGGAATGTAATTAAGAGGATGATGCTGGCATCGCCATAGGATCCCACAGTATGAACCAAAGTACTAATTAACAGCATTGGGAGTTAACCCTTGTCCAGAAGAAAAGTGAAAGAGGCAAGGAGTTGACTGTCATTTTATAGAGAGGAAAACTAATGCACTAAGAGAATGTCTGTTGAGAAAGCCAATGGTAGTTCAGAGGAGCAAAAGTGGAAATCTGAAAGGAGTGTTGTGCTGTGGGCATTTTGAACGGTCTGTGTCATGTACAAACTTCTGTTGTTTCAAAGCTGTTCTTTTCAAAATGTGACACCCATGAAAAACGTAGCTTGAAGGAAAGATAACGACCAAAATGGAAAGAAAGGAACCCGAGGTATGCAAATCAGATTCCCACTTGCTTGGGTTTGAAAGGATGTTTTTCTGTTCTTGCTATATGTTACAGAAATGTACCTGAATTTAGATGCTTGTCTTTGAATTATGTTGTGAACTTGTCCACAATTTGTGGGAATTTGTGTGCAGGGAGTCACATCTATCTCTAAGTTTGAACTATTGTTGGAATTTAAATGTTGTTAAGAAAGAAGAAAAGAAAAAAATCTGGTTTTCTAGGTTGTCCTGGGGCCAAGAAGAATGAGTTCCTGACCAGTGTTTTGGATGCATTGTCCACGGATATGGTGCACGCTGTCTCTGATCCATCATTGTCTTCTAGCCGGTGGGTTTCAGATAGTTTTTGTGTGTCTTTAAAAGGATTCTGGCAGTGGTGAATGAATTGATGAGGGCTGCGAGAAGTAATTCTTCTTTTGCCTTAACAAAGGGTAAATTTCCTGGAACCTGTCTAGACGAGTTCACTTCAAAGTTACCACTGTAGACTATGTCCTCTAAGCAGAGATGCACTAGATAGCTGAATTCTCAGCAGCAGCACGGCTTAGAGTTTATCTGTTGCTGCTGGTGCAACTGTGTCTCAGTCTTCGTTCTCCTCTCAGGATTTACTTAATGCGTGTGTGCTGCCTTCCTGATTCATATTTTGCCTCGTTGCTTGTAAAACAAACAAATACTATCAACAGTCACAGGTAGAGTTAAAAACGCGTAAGTGCTGTCAAACTTTGGGTGCCTGCAGGTCAGGTGCTTACCATCCGAAAAGGGGGTGGCATTTATTGTTATAACTTACCCTGTAATTCAATACATTTAGGTGTTTTATCTCTAAGAGCATCCATCATGGGTTGTAATTGGAGCCTAGGTATTTGGCAATGCTGACTGTTGACCTACTTCAGTTGGTTATATTACGCATTTTAATGTGTCTGTGATCTATGAAACTGTCTTTTTCTCTTTTATTGCTCTCTTCACTTTTCTCTTTTTCAGGAAATGAAAGGGGAAAGCATTGTTTTCTGAGTATGGTGCTGACCTCAACACAGTTTCAGAGAGTTAACTAAGAGCAGATTCCAACCCTTAGAGTAACATTTACTATACAGTTGTAAAAAAAGTGTACAAAGTGAAAAAAGAGAGATTCACTACAAGAAGCTAGTGGCCAAAAGCAGGGAGGTTTATGTAACAAAGCATCTGACAGTGATTTAACTATTCTGAAATAAGATATAAACTGAGGTTTATGTATCAGAATTAAGACTAAACTCTTGTTTTCTGTTTCAGGGTTTCCGAGCCTGATCCAAATCATACTCTGGAAGAGAGAGTGGTCCATTGGTATTTCAAACAGCTAGATAAAAATTCCAGTGGTGACATTGGCAAGAAAGAGATCAAGCCATTTAAGAGATTCCTAAGAAAGAAATCAAAACCCAAAAAATGTGTCAAGAAGTTTGTGGAATACTGTGATGTGAACAATGATAAGTCCTTGTCAGTTCAAGAATTAATGGGCTGCTTGGGAGTAACAAAAGAAGAAGGTAAAGCAGAAACAAAGAAACGCCATAGTAAGACCCTTTTCTAACTATCTTTTTCGCTAGATTCTTCAAAGCTGATGAAGTCTGATATTTGTATATACCAGAAGTACACAAAACAGAAGAATACACCTGCCTGTAGCTAATGCAGCTGTTTTGTTAGGGCAGATGGCTGGCAAGATGCTTTTGTATAGGCAAATCATCACTTTGCTCCAACAGAATCAAAAACTTCCCATTGATTCTGACCATTCCTATTACAGTAGGAAACCTAAGAGGATCCGATAACATTAACAGTCATCAAAAAGCCAGTTTAATGTTATTACAGTACTGAATGAGTGGAAGTATCACACCTGTGCTTTTTGGATTTCTGCTGGGAAGGAAGCACGTTGTTGAGCTTTCTAGTGTCTCAAATGTGGTTTAGAGATACAGTGAGGAATGTGGTGGTCATCTGCCAAACAGGTGGAACAACTGCTGGTACAAAGCCACTTTACCTTGCTGCCAAACGGGTAGAAAGGGGAACAACTAACTACAGTGTGCTATGGTGCCTGCAGAGTTCAATCACATGATTCCTGAAAATGAGGAAGAATTTAAAAACACAAATTGTAAACAGCAGCAGTACATCCCTATACTGTAAGAAGTTGTAGAACACGAATATAGTCAAATTGTTTTGTCTGCCTGGGACCTTAAAATGAAGGCAGGGCAGTAAAACAGTGTAATAGGAAATGAAAAGCAAGTCAAGTGGGAAATGCAGTCAGAAATAAAATGGTTTCCACAAAATTGATTGTATTCAAGTCTAGAAAGGGAATACTGCAGAAAGACGGAATAGCTCTACATTGTACTAATGAAGTAAATTGTCTATGGCTCACAGAAACATAACTCTCAAAACAAATATATCAAATCCAGGATATTTTTTCTGTGTTTTTTGTGGACCTAATAGTAATACCTTGTAATTTTCACTTAGGTGATGGAGGTAGAAAAAATTTATATGAAGGTGGATGACTGTTCTTATCTTTATGCTATAAATGTGGAAACTGAAACATAAAATCTTCTTTTTCGTTTACACTGTTTGGCAGACTAGTGTTTTAAAGCAGAGGCCATTATGGTCACTTCATATGTTAACATCCAGTTCTGTCCTTGCTGCAGCTGGCACTCCTTGGTCTCTTATTGTAGATGAAATTTGGGTCTAAAATCCTTGCCCCAGGACATAAGGGAAAGCTATAGCAAGACTCAAAGCAAAACCCAGTTTTCTTCTGTGCCCATTCCAGTGAGAAAAAAAAATAAAATATTAGGATAAACCTCCTGTTTTGGAAAAGAAAGTTGTAAGCTGCATGAAATTATATGAAGATCATGCACAGATTTAGCTAAAGTAAAAATTATGTTCACCATAACTGGAGATTTTCAACAGAGCTTCTCCAAAAAATGTCATTATTAATGAGAACATTCATTTTCAGAATGGAAAAATATCTCAGAACTTTTGCATCGAAAAACTAATGGCATCGAATTGGAAAAAAATTCTACACCAAATCATTTGGTTGTTTTCCTAGAAATATATACTTTTAAAGACAAGACAGTAAAAATTGCTTTTGTTGGAATATCAGCATTCTGTTTTGTTTCTCCTGCTTGATAATTAAAATCTCTTGTCTGGTAATCCTTTCACTTGCACAAAAGAAATCAATTGCCACTTGACTACAGCTAGTGCTATATTTCTAGGAATAGGTAAGACCCTGTCACCTGAGGTGTGAGAGCTGAGACAAGGAGGCAGCTCTGTATCATCCTGTGTGAGTCCCAGGTGTCTTGTGAGAACCTTTTAAGCCATATAGAAGCCAGAGAGCTGCAAAGCATACTTTCTATGGGGAATACTAGTTGCTGCAGTATTTTTCAGGGTCCAGTTTTGTTCCCCTTTGTCCCAGTACAGCTTGATTGACTAGCAAACTGACATGGAAAACCAAGAGTGAGATCCTCTCTTGCTTCCCAGGTTTGCTTGTGAAGTTGAATGGGCCATCAGACTCACATAGCTTATTGTTTTTTTCCCCATTTAGAGCACCGTCTTGGACTTTGCCACTATGAAACTTAAAAACCAGTGGTAATCTTGTTCTACAGATGAAATGTGAACGATGTGTTTGGCTCGTAGAGCTGTTCCTGTGCAATATCTTTAAGCAAAGTGAATGCTTTCCAGACAGTCTTCTTGTCCATGCTTCTTTTTCACCAGGGATAATAGTCTATATTTACTACTAAAGATTTAGTAAGTTTGAAATGCTGACTAGATGCAATCTGTCCTAAGCAAATGTCATATATTAACTGGCAAGAAATGCTGTCATTCAACTTTCATGTAACTCAGTGAAAGAAGCAACACCTGTATTGAGGAAACAAAAAAGTGGATGTTTCCATGAAAGATCTGAAATATTTTATCTCATCGTTTATTGAAAGCTATGCAGTTGCCGTGCTTTAAAAAACACCTTTTCAGAATGAGGGCTTCAGTTCTTGGATATGCTACACGTAACTTGCAACCATATTTATGTTTTCTTTTCCCTCCTTTAGCGGCCCCTAAAACCAACACTGAGAGCACTTCATCCAGCAGGCAGGTGAGTACTGAGGAGAGCAAGATCTCCATTCCTGCCTTGCCCAGCTGAATTTCTTGGGGTTTTAGCAGTTATCATTGCAGCTTCAGACTGCATGCATCTGCCGTTCTGCAGACTTGCCAAGAAAATGTAGAGCAGCATCCTGATTGACAAATTTTGACTTAAGTTCTATCGAAGGAAAGCTGAATGTCAACTACAGGTGCCGCCTAAATGTGCATAAATGCAAAGTGGATTGGGCCAGCATGTGCATGTTCCCAGTAAAGTGTAAATTGGCATATGGGTTAGTGATAATTAGATTAGTGTAACTGAGCCCTCATATAAGTCTTCTGCATTCCTGAATGACAGCATTCCCATACACGTTTAAATGTGCACTGCTTTATCTTTATTTACCTTTTGCTTTAACTGAATTCTGTTAACTTTCCCACACAATAGACACATTGATTGTGAACAAAGCTGTGCATTTCCCATGCCCTGTGAAAATCTATACATTTCACAACTGAATTATTATATGGTAGCTTTAAACACCTTTTAAAATCTTAGTGTGGAGAAAAGAGCTGTCACTTTCAAATGCGTTTGCTGGCTGAGCAAAATGATGCTGGAGAACAAGGATTTGCATCAGTCTGCTGATGTATGTTAAAACTAAAATTGGTTAGGTCTGCAGAATGACTGTAGCAAATAAAATGTCAAGTGCCCTGACAGCATAATCCGTGATTTATATTTGCATCAGTTTTCTGGAAAGACTTGATTTTGTTTTTTCAAATAACATCACTGTATGTCATTCATGGAGTTTTGTCTACTCAGGGCATTCAGAGCTACAAAAGGCACAGAAGTAGAGTTTTTAAATCAAGGAAAGGTGCTTATTGAAAAGGAGAGACTCAAATGGAAGCTCAGGAAAAAAGGTTTTCTAATATGTGTGTATCTATTTTTATAATCATTAATTCTGCCAGAATCAGTTTTCTGGGCAACAGAGGCACAACTTCCTAGCACTTCTGCATGTGTCTGAAGAAGGACTTAATGAGTCTGCCAGTTATTTGAACAGTCTAGTAAAAGAATCATCTTCAAACCATTCTTGCCTCGGTTTTGTATTAGTTAAAGGAATTAAATGATTAATGCCCACAAAGACATCAGTAAATGATGAATTGTTTCAAAAAATATTCATATAAACATATTATAAGAACAGCTGAGGTAACCCTGCAGCTGGTAAAATAGGAATTCAGCTAAAAATATTGCCAAACTGTAGTAGTGGTTAGTGTCTTCCCATCTATCAGAAAACTAGATTAATTTGTTAAAATCTGAACCCAGGGTGAACCTCCTCACAAGCCAAGAGAAATCTTCCTCTCATTGTTGCTAGTCAATTTGTTACTTGCTTTATCTTTCATTTGTTTGATGTTAGGTTCACACATCCTGAGGCAAGCTCAACATTGGTTGTGGGTTCTACTGGAGACCTCCTACATATCTTTGATGGAATATAAAATATTCTCACAGCTAGAGGAATGTGATAAGTTTCTGTTTGTTTAAACAACTGTTTGTGGTCTTAACTTTTCAAGTTCCCCACACAAATCACTTATGCTTAAAACAAGGCAGCCTGAAAACAATTATCCTGTCGGAACTCAAAAACATTCAAAGGGGTTATTTTCATTATATAATGGCAATTACTGGCACACGTGCATTACACTTGAAGCACGACAAGCCCTCTCCCCTTTCTTGTAATCTCATCCTGACTTGCAGAATCTGTAATACAAGTGTCTTAGAGTGTCTATGTTTTTTAATTTTGTCCAATAATTTTGCTGACTCAGCACCAATTATTTTTAAAGCTGTTGCTGACAAATGAGAGCCTTGAATTAAGGCTGGCTCAGCAAACCATCTGTTGGCAGTTTCATACTTGAACAATACAAGGCTGAAAATGCAGAAGGTGGCTTTCATCACAAAGTTTTCACTTGAAAGGAAGTTACTGAAAAGCAGCTGGGCTGGGTAGGAGCTGCTCAAAGGAAACCACCCACCTAAGGAGGAGTGATCAGATTTGTACCGCTCAGGAGATGGGAACTCAAGAGCTCATTTTCTACTAGTTTATTGTGGCAGTTCAGATATATAGATGTTTATGTGTGCTTAGGCATGTGTTCATGAATATTTTTTTTACATATGTGCACATCTGTATGTGTGCACACACATGCAAGCTTACTGGATGAAAGCAGATATAGATACATATACTGACATGCTAACTGAGCCTCAGCTGTGGTTGCTCTAAAAGAGGTCAAAAACATGATGGATCTGACAGAACTGGGGTAGGGGCCAGGTCTACTTTCCTTGCTCAGCTCCACCCTGTCCAACAAACATACACATGCCACGTGCTGTCAATGAGACCCAGAGGGTCTTTTGCAGCCTAGTAAGAAGTTTACGAGGAAACTATAGATTGTTCCTAAGACTTTGGCCAGCAGCCCATTCCTTACACATCACATGCCATAGAAAGGTATATTGCATCAGGGACTTTCCCAGGCAGTTCCTAAAACTGTGTTTGACAGGTGTAGATTTAAAGAGGCCGTAGGTAAGAAATAGTAAAGTTGCTCATACTCTTATTCGTAGATGCCATGAAGGACTACAGGGCAGAGATTTTTTTATTCCTCATTTATATTTGTGCGGGACTCTTGCTCTGTTAGTGGCATGTGGCAATGTTGAAAAATAAAGAAAAATGTTTATACTTGAATACTTGAAAATATCATTAATAATGCAAATTTTTCCAACTTTCTTTCAGCAAGTTTCTAAGAAGCAAGGTTGAACAGCTTACTGATCCAAGGCAGATCTCTTTGACATGTGGGAGATTTCCTCACCAAAAGGCAATAAAAGCAACTGTAGTATTTGCACTTTGTACTTAAAAATGTAAATTCACTTTGTAGAAATGAAATATTTAAACAGACTTTTTTTTTTAATCTGTGAAAATGTAATGGCTAGTTTTGAAAAATTATCACATACAATGTATGTGTATCCTTTTGTTGTCTGAAATATGTAAAACTTGTGGAGATGTAAAAGTTTGCATTTAAACCATTTTTTTAAAAATAGCTTTTTGGCAAACAGTAGCATAGAAACCTGATTCTATGTATTTTGGTTTCAATAGTATGCCTTGTTTTTCTTAATCAATGCTGTCATTTAAGTAGAGTTATGCTGAAAAGTCTACTGTATTCTCAATTTTGTCCAAGCAGTGTTGGATGTTTCAGGTTTGCAGGACTGAGGAAAGCGTGTAAATTGCTGTTTACTTGGTTTTGCAGTTTATAACTGAACAGATTCTTCATTGGTGGCAATATTTTATTTCATTTTGGTTTTATTGTTGTTATTATGCTTTCCAAAGATCATGCAACGAGAATGCAACCACTAATGGTTTCAAAACAGTACTTGTAGAAAAATGTATCCTTTTATGCATTTTTGATGTGCCTTTCATTGTAAGTTTTGGTAGGATTTTTTCCCCAGTTTGTTTTCACTTGGGTTATTAATACAGCAAACCAACAAGGAGTATGGTGGAGTGGAATGTCACTCCAGTCTGGTTCACCCTGGGCCTAAAATCATGTTTCTGTGGTCAGTGCAAAGCAGGAGCCGAGTTTATATTGGTCAGAATTGTAAATCTAACTATAAAGACACAGGGAAGGCTAAACAGATTGTTCAGCCTTTTCTTCTCCTGCACCTGGCTGCCCCCATCAACTCTTTGGTTTGCCTCAAGGTCCACTAGAGGTAAAGCTGAACAAATTATGAAGAGTTGCCGTCAGGAGCAGCTGCTCACATTGCCCCTGCCTGAGGCTTTTTTCTTGCTGTCTGAAAGAAGTTCTCACAAGCTTTCATACCTTCTCTGTCATTTTTCCCTCCAATGCTTTTTTGTATGTGTGCCTGAGGGGAATAAGAACTTGCGGATGTGAATTTGGAGCAGGGGACCCAAGTGAAAAAGGTTCAGCTCTTGAACAACTGTGAGTTACAAGCAGCTGGGTTGATTGATGCAGTGGTAGATGGACTGCTGGCATCTAGGAGCTGACATGAAAAGGCAGGAATGTTGCAACAAGCAGTGATTTCATTCTGGTTTGTTTAGATAACATGTGGGATCTGACTTGTGACTAGCTAACCATAATAGCACTCTGGCTTGAGCTTGTACCTGGAAAAGCTTTTTTGCAAATAAAAATATTTCATTTCAATTTCAACATATGCTGAAATGATAGGAAGCACTGTATGCAGGGGAATTGTACCCCAAAAATTGTGTACTCTAAGCTTTGGCAGGAGGAACCAAGATGCAACTGTGTGTTATCTTGTATTTTTGTTTTAAAAAGTATTTGTTATTCTTTTATACTGTTAAACTTTGAATTTAATCTTCTTTATAGATTAAAGGTCAGTATGTTATCAAATTATGCTGGTGATTTTTCTTCTGCAACACAGAGAGCCACATTTGGAGGTACAAACAGCGGTGAATTCACCGCCATGTTGAGTTTACAGAAACCTCATGACCTCACATGGCGTCCATCTTCTTTTTTTCCCTTGCCCCTTTATTGAATTCTCCCTTAACGTTTTTCATGCCTTATTCATACCATTGCTTTCTCAATTAGTGATTTTGAGGCTAGATCCTTTGTTACTACTAAGGCCATATAGTTTCAGCTTGGTCTCTTGCCTCTTCTCAGCAAAGTGCAGTGTGACATAGATAGACATCACACCTTTTCCCTTTGGTGTGAGTGTGAGCTTCCAGGCAACTTCAACCTCACTGGAAACAATGAGGAGAGAGAGGCAAACCCTGAGAATACTCAGCACCTCCTTAGGTGGGTGCAGTGTGGTTAATAGCAACATTTTGTAAGAAGCATCTAATTCCATCGCTGTGGCCTTCAGAGTCAATATAAGTGTAGGCAATCAAATATTTTGCTATGTCTGTGGTTTGAAATGACAGCTCATTTAAACTGGGAGGGTGTGTGGGGATGCAAATTTGGACTAGCAACTTGATTATATAACGAGTAGCCTTAAACACTTATCAAAACACAAATAAATAATATAGGCATTTTCTTAGGTATCCAAACACTTCAACAACATAGAGTCATTTAATGACTCTACAGTGACTGAAACATGAGGTTTTTCATATTTGTACATATTTCTGTGTCATCACATTTATGGTTCATTTCAATTTCCAGCCATTACACCATTTGGCTGTAATCAATACTGAGTTCTCATAGCTCCAGTTAGAGTCTAGACCCCTTACTGGAACACACTTGAAAGCCTGCTAAATTTACCTTGGGTTCCTGTATCTCCCATATATCCACAGGGCAGTTAAACTCAGATAAATCTTGGTCCTTCTACTTGTAACCAAGCACAGCCTTGATACCAAAAAGGAATCCATGTGGATAGGCCCTTAGGCTCACACTACAGTACCAGTGTTTATTTAGTTCTACGGTAATTAATTAGTTCTAGTTTATATCCTATGCTATATGCAACAATTTAGTTTCAATTTTAGTTCTGTTCTTATTGAAAGCACAACTTACATTCTGCTTTTCATCGATCAATATTTATTCTAGTTCCAGCTCTTGCTGAGCAGATTTATTTAGAGCTTTTATAAAGTTGTAAGTAGAAGACTATTAAGTTTTAAAAATGTGTATGTGTTCAATGATTTGTCCAGCCTGTTGCAACATCCATTAGTCAGCAGGCCACACAGTGAGAAATGTTCCATGTTTTGTCAATACTTTGGATAACTTTCTCATCTTGTTCCCAGCCCTAGAAATAGACCAGCTTCATAATTCCAGTTTTACCAGAATCACTTAATTCTCAGTCTTCTCCCAGTCTAACAAAATGCCTAGCTTTCAGATACTCATTTTGCAGAACTAGGACCTAGATGATTGCTTGTAATGGCAATTTTTCTTGCTAATGTCATTTCAGTTAATAAGACACAAAAAAGCACCAGTTCGTATGAGTGTAAGGGAGAAGACTTAAACTAAATACTGAATGCATATAAATCAAGGAATACACTATACTTCTCTCATTTGGACCAGGAATTTGCGCTTCATAAGTGCCATAAGCAAATGGAGAAAGCAGGCATTCCTAGAAAGCTGGAAGGAGAAACAAAAATATAAATTGCATCCTTAAAGACTATTAAGTGTGTCCAAGTTTTGATAGATTTAGTTAATGTTTTCCTTTTATAGTAGTAATAAAAGATGGATTAATAGAGGTTAAGAAATCTTCCCTGGCAAAGATGATTTAGTTGTCCCTTTTAAAGATTTACACTAGCGTATTATATAACTAGGTCATAGAAACTAGTGTGAAAGAGTCTTTAATGGAGAAAGTGAAAGGTTTATTACTTTTGTTTTCCTTAAGAAGGCAAATTGATGTCATTTTGGAGTAATTACTTTGACATTAAATAGCAACCCAGTTCACTGATGTTCGAAACATTAGAATGATTATAGTAAATTATTGATACAAACTGTACTCTTTGTCCAATTTAATTGTTTCAGTTCAAGTTTTATAAGTGAAAATATGCCCTTTGTTTAAAAAGCATAAATAATACATGTTATTTTTTTCTTTAAGCAAAAGCTCATGTGGAAAGCGTTCAGAACAACACATTTGTCTAGGACATCCACTAAGGGGGGTAACAGGGAGAGAAGTCTGCCTGTTTTTTATCTAGTTTAGCAGTAGAAATATATGTAATATTTTGCTTTTCTTATGTTTACCTTTCCTATTTCATCATACACTTTGACTAATGTCACTGCTGGAATACAAAGCCTATTGGAAGGAAAGACAGTGAGAATCCATTCTGTGCATATGAACAATCTTTTCCATAAAATACAGTCATCTGAGGCATCCTTTCCCTAGAGACTCCCTTTACTCTTTCCATTGAGAAACGTTTTCACTAAACCATGACTGACCGATTTAATGTGATTGTGGGTTTCCATGAAATTTCACTTTTAAAAGTATTTTTTGGTTTAGTGGTTATTTTTATGTTGAAACTTCTTGTCCTTTATCTAAAAAGCATGAAGTGTCAACACTGAAAATGAGCATTTTGACACCAGTTTTATCCCAAAATTAATTATTGTGAAAGGTAGCAGCGTTCTTGCTCTTCCCCCAACTTTTTTTTAAAGAAATCATAAAGTCAAGTTTCTGAACATTAATTTGTCATGTTTCATCTGAGTCTCAGTTTACAGTCTTTGAGTACCTTGCTATACCTGTATGAGGCAAAGAAAAAACTGTGCACACAGAACATGAAGAAAACTTCAATATGGGTAAGGGTATTTATACTTGTTTGTATGAATATAAGCAGCACAGTTGATGCAGTGTGAATCAGTGACTTGCAGAAATATACAGGGCACTTTTCCAGCTTGCAAAATAAGCCTGCCATGAGACTGAATGCAAACACTCTCAATCCTAAAATAAAATCCTAGCATATCTCTATCTTTTACCAGTCATTTCACTCAAAGGCTGGTGCATGCCAAACCCCACTTGACCACTACCTGAGGAGCAGCTCTAGCTCTGTTAGCTTGTAGCCCCCCAGGCAGTCTTCCTGAACCCACAGTTTAGGTTCATTCTTAAACCCCAGGCTGGGATACCAGTGAGACTAAGACTCAGAACAAAGAACACAAGAAAAACCACAATGACAGATAGTGTAGATTAAAGGATATTACTCCATAGCTCAGACTTTTTACCCTAGTTTGCTGTGATCCACTGAAAATTCCCACTCTGTATCATCAGTGACAAACCTTAACTTCTTGATTCTTAATCCATCAAATCTGTGGTCAGAGTGACAGAATGTCATGCTTCAACCCAGTGGGATTCAATGCAAGTCTCAGCTAAGACGTATTTGGGAAATACTGTGACCCCTCAACAGATGCGTGTGCTCAGTTAACTCCCACCCAACAATTCGTCTTTCTGCTCAACACCATGTGATGGAGCAGTGTCACACACATCAGCTCTTTAATGCTCTGCAGGTGGGAGGTGTGCTTCCCTCAGTCTGTAGTATATTTCTTAGTGTTGAATGCTCAGCATTGGGGGAGGAAGCTTGTTCTCTAACCC